TCTAACCGATTGCGCTACCGTCGCCGCGCGGAACGAGCTCTGTCGCGCGTAAACCCTTAATAACGGCGTCGGGGCTAACGAGTATTAAATTGTATCAAATTGCACGCGCCGAAGTTATCCGCCGATTCGGGGATCGCGGCCCGACAAGAACGGACGATTTGGAGTTTCGCTCGCGCGCCAACGCGCTCACGCGTCATTGCGCGGTGGGAAAATATGTCGGGGATATGTCGCGCGTGAAGGATTTCGACGCGACGGAACTGCCGCGTAAACGCACGAGCGATCGGTAAAAATCGCGAAATCCCAGTCGCGAACGCGAACAGCGGTACTCTCTATGCCCATCTCATTCCCTCTCTCTCTCTCTCTCTCTCTCTCTCTGTTTCTCTCTCTTCGTCCGTGTCCCGCCTGCTCGTTTTCTCTCGCCGGGGTTATCATCGATTTTCCACGCGGACATATCCCGCCGCCGAGCACCGCGGCCATAGCTTGTTTATGTGTAATGTTATATCGGCAATCGCGCGGCTGTTCGCGCACGAGTTTCATTTGTATTTTACGTTCGAATTGCGTTCTGCGCGCGCGGCGCGCAAGCCCGCCGCGGCGGCAGGCACGAGGCTCTTGCCCCGCAATCGGAGTAATAGCCAATAGAGCCCGTTATTTTGCAATCAACACGGACATCGGCAGAAAAATGCTTGTTTTCTTTTATACCGGCTTCGTTAGTCGCGAAGCGAGAGGAAGTGGCGCGGTTTAGCCACGTTTATTGGGAATACAGTAATTGAGCCGGGGCTACGCCATCGCGCGCGCGCGCGCGCGTCCTGATAATAGTAACGGTGGCGTGTCCTGTGGAAGCGACGTAGATCGTGATACACCGGTATAAGTACGAGTACCGTGACAATTTTTCCGCCCTGAGAGTTGTTGTACCCGCGCACGGCCACTTATTAAGCAGTCCCGCCGTGAATTTGCTTCGCGCAGGTCCCACTCATTTGCTGTGCTCCTCGGAGTTTTCATCTTATCGCCTTTCTCGTTACACACACGCGCGCGCGCACACACACACATACATACATACATACACGCACACACGTCCGTGCGTTAATTTTCAATAATTATAATAATTGATGAATCGTCCCACATCCCGCGTACAAATTTTATAGCGCGCGGACAGTTAATTAGTATTCGACGTCGAAATATATTTTAAACCGCGTCGGTTCTCATACCGCTCGCATGACCGTTGGTCGTTCAACCGCACGGAATGAGGTTTGAATTTTGTACGCATCACGCGATGTCAATCAATTTTGTGGAAACGCGAAACGGTTTGGTATCGTGCGCTATGCCACGCGCTCGATATCTTTTGTAATCGTAATTTATTTGTATCGACTGCGTGTGTGTGCAGCAAAGTAATCGAATTGAAGTAGTAATTCGATTTCTTCTCTTTTTTCCCTTTTTTTTTTTTTTTTGTTTGCAGTGAGTCAATTTTAGCAGAGTCACAAACGCACCTCCATTTAGTTCTCAGCGCTTGGAGAGAAAAAAGAGACAGAGAGAAAGATCTCTTTTACGTGTATTTATACGCGCGCGTCTTTATGGACGATAAATTGTTATAGTATCGAGGGCATTCTGCAAAACGAGACGTCGTAGCATTTGCATGTTATCTCATGCTCTTTCGCGAAATTACGCCGGCCGTTGCGTTTCTCTCAAAAAGCGCCGGGGATCGGCGTTATCAGCACGCAGCTTAGTGCGGCCCCGCGCCTTCGAATTATTTATCACCCTTAATCACCGATCCGCGGCCCTCAGTAGCAGTTAACCCATATTTCCCCGGTTTAATGGCGAGAACAAGCAGCGGCACGGTCCGCCGAATATCACCTTCGCCGACTAAATGTCTCGCGGGCATCGTGCTCCGTCTGCGAAATGTCTAATCGTGACGTTCCGCCGTTTGCACGTTACGCCCGGCTATTTCGCGTAGATGCACTTCCATTTGCCTCACCATGCAATTCCGCACGCAGGTGAGGAAGCAGGGAGGGAGCAGGATGAGAAAGAGGAGAAGAGGGTCAAAAGTGCTGGACGTTGTTTAAGAGACAATCGGCCGCTGCGCGGGATAGCGATGAAAATGATATAAACCCGTGCCGTAACGAGACGCGCGATCTACCGCAAAAATCGAGCGATTTTATGATTGGACTTGGCTGAGCAAATATACTGCACTAACAATGAACACAGAATGATTTTAAATTCACATCTATGCTATTTCCTTTCCTGTTTTGTGCTGCAACGAATGGATTACAATTCGAAATGTGTATATATGTGCCTGAATACCTAAAATTATTTATTACGTTGCATTTCAAACATTATCGTACCTCCTGTCTGCACCGTCACTGTTAAATGCGAGTGAAAATAACATCATGAGTTATTATTAAATTTGTTTTAATGTTTCTCACGATAAAACGAGTGAAAAGAGACATGGTTCTATTAAAAAAATAAATAAAAATGACCTCGATTTTTTTGCGGGAAGAAACGTTTTCGATATTTTTATTATTGCGTCTCATTGTCGTTTAGACACTGATCAATTGCATCTGCAACTTTTCTCTGCCCGATCATTGTGACAGTGAAAAAAAAAAGTAGTGGATACCATTACCATGAAGGCCCCATGTGTCAAAGAGGGTAGATTGGCGAAATTTATGAGGTTCCCGCTGCACCACTGTAATGGCTTCTCGGATTGTAATGGTTAAGATCTGCGTGACACTATCGACCCGCGTGGCGTGAACGCATCGTTAATTCAATCGTCGCGGCCGGCTCTCAGCACCGATAGCTCGGCCCAGAGCGACGAGCAGCATTATGAATCCATTAAAGTTTGCAAAGAGTGCACCGTGCGGAAAAACATTATGTTACCACGTTTCGCGGGAGGAGCGTTCCATGCGGCACACGTTTCATGCATTTTTATCCCATTTTAAGGAGTAGCGCTACGTTACGTGCACGATGCACCTACATTATGTAAACGTCTCTACATATCTCTCTCTTCCTCTCTCTCTCATTCTTCCTCTCTCTCTCTCTTTCTCTCTCTCTCTCTCGGTCTCCCACTAGATTATTTATTATACTAATTACGGAATTGCGGGGCCTCCCCGGAGTTCCACTTACGCGCTTAGAACCCGACACGACGGCGCGAATAAAGTTTTCGCCCAGAATAAGTTGTACCGCGAACGTGCATGCGCCTTTACGAGGAGCGCAGCCGCGCGGCAAAGTTTATCGAGAGCATTCAGCCCTGACACGTACATTGAATTAATTTCACTCGTGCGGCTCACCGCTCGTCTCCTCCCGCCCGTGATTGGCTCCTTGAGAGGAAGATTAAAAGGACGCTACGGAGGAAAGTCGCGATTGTCTCTCTTCTTCCCTCCCCCCCCCCTTCCTCTCTTTCTCTCTCTTTCTCTTGCTTTCACTCACGCGGATGGTAATAGAGACTGCCTTCCTCCCTTTGATCGCGCCAAGTGAAATGGGATTCCGAGGCGTCTCGGGGTCGACGGAAAAGACGGGACGAGAGCCGATGACCGCAAGCGTTTCGAGTGGAAATTACTGGGAGACAACTCCCGTATTTCGACGTCGAAGTGATCTCGACGCGAAGCGCTCGCCACGAGACGACTGTGACTGTTCTAAGCGCGAGTAAAGCGTTTTCCGATCCCGCTGATCATTTGCGCGAGCTAGTCCGCCTCTCTGTTCCGCCCTGTCGCATGTAAACGAACGCGTGAGAGAGATTCGAGAAAAATGGATCGTTAAAATCAACAGGCACCGCGAGATCCCGCGAGACTCGTCGCGGAATAAGCGTTTCCTCCCTTCTTTCCTTTTATTCTTCCTTCCTTCCTTCCTTCCTTCCTTCCTATCTTTCTTCCTTTCCCAACTTTTATCGCTCATAGGCGCATAATCACAACTATCGTTGCTCGAAAACGCATAACTCTCGTAAGAGTGCGCAATGAGTGGAGTAACAACGTTAGCCGGCGCGTTTCCCTAGACATCGATAGAACTTAGATTGAAAATCGTGCGTGTATCATGTGTCACAGGGACGTTCGATTAAACGCTTTGGTGAATGTCGATGAGACATAATCAATTATGCTAATTGGGTTAATTATGTATAGCAATAGATCCGCCGTTCTACATAAGAGGATCATTGGCTGGATTAAATTTCCTGTTAATTTCCATGAAACGCGACAATCGATGTTCGCTATACACCGTTTGCCATTATCAATTACGATTCTTTTTCATCATTTCTGTATCGAGCGCTTGATGAAAATATTAGCTGACGATTTATACAGTTAATTAATGCGTCCAATTATGTCGCAGTCGTCGCGCAATTTTGCGTTTCGCAAACGGGCAGCGGTGAGAGCTTTCGTCGCCAAAAATAGCACGCGCGCCGGTTGGCCAGTGGAATGGAATAACTTCATAAAAAAGAAATTGCGGGAGAGTAACACTTATAAAAGATTTCATTCTGGTTGCCGCGTTCGCGAGCCGAGTATTACGTCTCCTCCGAAAAGACGCTGAAAGTTGAGTGAGGCACGGTGGAACTTCCAGCCTGGCGTTCGGCCGTCGTTTATAGATGGCCGAGCAGTGGCGAAACGAGTTCGCAATCACTGATCGATGGGACATTAAATCACACCGCGAACTTTTAGCCCCGCGGGCTGAAAAATTTATCGGAATTATTTATGGCCGTCGCGCGCGCTGACCGACAGACGCTTAATCCTAAAACACAGATATCCGCGGATAGCGCGTCGCAATCGAGCGCGTCCACGACTGTCGACTATCGCATAACTCTCCCCGTGCGAAAATAACGCGCGCGAGTTATTATATTCCGTTTGAGTTCTAGTGTAATCGCGATTGTCGGCGATCCCCTGCCGGCGACAAATGTACTCATCGGCACACCCGGCCCGAAAATACACGGAGACGCACGGGTATTATGCGCGCGTTAGTAGACGCGAACAACCGCGGGCTTGATCGAACATCCTTCACAGCGACTGGTGTGTTTTTATTGTTTGCAGGTGCAACAGGTTTGAAAGATCTGACGATAAACGTACCGGCCATGGTGAGATCGGGCGATACCGTGACGCTGTCGTGCCACTACGACCTAGAGGGCTCATCACTGTACACGATACAATGGTTTCTCGATAATAATGAATTTTATCGCTACGTGTTCGACCGCGTGCCACCTGCCAGCAGTTTCAACGTGTCTGGTATACAAGTCAACGTGAGTAATTCTTTCCTGGAGCGGCTGAAAATTCGCGTATCACCCAAAACAATCCTCTCATGTATGGTTTCATGAAATATTCTCTTAAAAATAGAAATAATATACACGGAAATAATATACACAGAAAGAATATAAAATATAAAATATGAATTTTAACATTTTTCACATGTCTCAAAAAGTCCACTCTAAATTTTCTGTAAAAATAATTCATTCGTGGTGTGTTACTCATTGATAAATTATTAATGTTAATTAATTGATATCCAGCGATTTTTTCTCATATTTATGGTTGATATTTTGCCTTTAAACGATAAAAATTTTTAAAATAATATAAACAGTAATAAAAAATACACAAAAACAGTAGTTAAAATGACTCATAAGGAATGGGACATTTTTGTTCATACAATGTGAACATATACAAAAGTGAACACGCTATCACTTATTTTTCAAGTTATATTAATATATATTATATTAATTACTTAATTTATTCATGATAGAAACATTTTCTCTCAATAAATTTGTTTATTCTATATGTATAAGATTATAATGATTTGTTTTTCGTTCCTGTTAATATTAAAATGACTTTATGAAATGATTTATTAATAATTATCAAAAAACACAAAATAATATTTTATTTTTAAACGACAAAAACTTTGAGTTATTAAGTTTATATTAATATAATATATTAAAATATCATGAAAATAATAAAATGTCGGTAATATTAATTTTTTACATTGAAATAACAATGAAATAACAATGAAAAATAGATAAAACATGAAAATTGTAACATGTGTACGCAATATTTCTACTATATATATGTAGTATATTCTAACATTCAGAAAGAAGAACTCCAATTGCAAGAGCCTCTGTAATACCGTATTCTAAGCGAGAGAATATTACTATTTTAATGAAGAGAGTAATATTGCGCTTAGAATATTTCCCCTTGCGCTTTTAGAACTTCTTGAGGCATACATAAGAGGATTTTGCTAAGGACAAGATTATATTTTTTGAAGAGATTCCTGAGATACAGTTGGAAAGTTCTCGTGGTCAAAATTATCTGTTGAAAATCGAAGAGTGTCGATATATTTATGATACGTGTATTTGTTATCCTGCTTATTATGTTATGCTTGTTATGTTAATAAGTAACGTTATTTTACTGATAAGTTACTGAAATGTCACCACTAAGTACATGTGATTACTTTTAATAGTTTTCATCTCAACAGAATTTCATGTTGGTGTTTGTGCATGATAACGAAGACGTTTAGCGTTCGAGAGTAAAGCGAGACGAGAATATCGGCGCGCGACAAAGTTTTCGCCAAAAAGTAGACGACGCCAAATTAACTCTCTGAGAATCAGTAGACGAGAAAGAAGCCGCGATAATCCCGAGATGTCTTGCGTATTTCATATTTAGTGTAACCGGTACCTCATTTATGGTAATAACCGAGTCACCGTACGTTTATCTTTATTACGCTCAACTTCTCAATTAACCCGCAATAAAAATCTTATCTCCTTAATAACACTTCCGCGAAAGTTTATTATACCAATCTCGCTTACCAGGATGTTCATTACGAGTCGCGCTCATCCGATAAGCTGGTCCCGAACTTACGGAAAAAAATTCTAATTATGCAGAACTTGAATGAGCGGGATTAAGACATTGAGTATCGCGAGACTGATCGTTTTCTTGTCGTAAAACTAAATCGTGGGCGCTCGAATTCGAGCGAGGAGGACCAGAGCGCGAGTTCGATTGGGTCATGAAACGTGGAATTCAACCGTACGATATCTTAATCCTTTAAGGCCCTGACATCCATCCTGTTCGAGTAAAATCTTTCTCTTCACATAGTAGTCTCGAAAGACATCCCTTATGAAGAGTTTTGTGGTTTGAATAAAACTGATCGTCCAGAAATACGATTTCCTGAATATACTGAATATATTTATGTGCACTTTATTTGCACGTGTGCCCCAACTGGAGAATTTAATAGATCATATTACTATGGTAAAAAATTAAGACAAAAGCGTTAACATTATATCCTAAAATGATATTGATAAAAAAATTGAGGAATATACGGGATGTTTGGCCTATACAGTCCTTATAATAGTCCTTTCGCACAATTTTTCAAGATCTTCTGACAGTTTAAAGAAAAAATTGCAATGTAAACATTTATTTATCTCATGCAAGCTGTCACTTGCAACAAAAGGATTGGAAAATTGGAAATGACTTTAAAAAATCCATGTTATCATGAATTTTTTATATGGCACCATGCAATTTTTTCTATAATATTGTACGGGACTTTCAAATGAATTTAACGTATTATCAAAAAATGCTACTTTTATTGATATTTAATATTAAATTTGCAGCATTTTTTTGAAATGTAGCATTACTTATAAGCTCTGACTAGAAATGTAAACATGAGCACTGAAAACTGTCTGACTGTGCTATATGGACGTTGTTAAGGGTTAACCCAGGGTTAAGCAGTATGTTTGAGAAAAAAAAACATATCAGTGTATTCTTATCGTATGATGTGTGTTATTGTATTTATTCTCCGAAGAATGCGCATATCGATGTATAGCGGTCTGATCCATTTATCAAGAGCTCTCTCTCTCTCTCTCTCTTTCTCACATTCCCTTTCTCTTTCAAAGAGAGAGTCAAGATAAGAAACAAAGTCAAGCTGATTTTTGCGCTCGCGAGTAAACGACGTGCCGTTCTCTCTCCTTCCTCCCTTTTTTCGCTCTCTTTACGACTCGCGCCCGATCCGACCGTAATCTATTTTTCCGCGGAAAACAGAGCCTGCAAGCAGATTCGATAAGGGAGCAGAAGAGGATCCCCGAGCCGTCGCGTCTCCTGCGTCCCAGCCGTGAACGAAACTTCTTGCCATTCGTTGGACAAGCGCTTGTCCCCTACGCTCCTTCTAATCTCCCATGCGTCCGGAAGCCTCTATTTTTCCGCCGGTGTGGTCGCAAAGAAGGTAAAAGTTTCTCGCCCCCCGATGCAGGGGAGCCGGGGAATCGATAGGCTGATTTATGGCGTGTACTACGACCGCGACACGACTTGAACCCGGGTCAACCGAGTTCCGTGTTTTACCGACGTCGATTCAATGCCAACGCAATCGCACTGTGCGACTCACGCTCCCCTTTTTTTCTCAAATTTTCCGATGCTCGAGAAAATGGAATATCCTTCTCTGAGAGAGAGAAATAGGAGGAGAGAAACAATAAAGAAGCTTGGGGCTAGATATCTTATATTTTAAATTTTCGAACTTGCAACGTATCATATAAATATGATAGAACTGATCTTTTTCTATGTATTAATGCTCGTCACAACCCTGTTAATTGTATATTTTATTTTATAATAACCAAAATATGAATATGGAGCAACATAGCAATCTTGTACGGAAGCAAATTAACCAGTAGCGTAGATTAACAAAGCTACATGTCAGACATGTATTCTAATTCCAGAGTTTCCGCTGGGAATCTCCACATCTCTTCTGTCAGTCCTTAATTATGGACCAATTTTACCTCGTCCGCCCATATGCTCCATTTCAATCATCTTATGAATGAAAATAGCATTTATTAGCAGAAACAGTATATCATATACTTTGAAGGAATTTCATTCAGCTAATAATAGATCGTTTAATTTTATCTGGTCAGAGTGAGAATATTAATAGAAAATTTCGAGAGGCTAAAAAATTTATAGTAAATTATTATGATAAAGCAAATAAGAATATATTGTGCAAAATAATTGTATATTCATATATTAATATTGCATATGTTTTAGTCTAAGTTTAGATCCTTTTCATAAACAAAAAAGTCAATTACAATAAAACGCAGAATCGAATAACTGTGATGCCTTAAAAAGAAAGGAATAAAGTGTATTATTATAATTATAAAGATAAAAAAATCAAATAAATTTAGACAAGACTCTTACCGAAACAACCACATATCAGAATATTCAGTGATAATATTCTTCACAGGTAATAATATCAATAATTCTAGACAATGCTCATAATGTATCAACGTTAAGAAGCATCATTTATATGTTAAATGTCATACAAAAATTTACTTTGCTATTATCAAATCAGTGTTTTTATTTCTTAACTGTAATATTATTCTGATTTTATCAGGGAAAAGTATTTATGTTCTAAAAGAAACATTTCGCGATTTTGTATCCACCATTTCTCTTCAGATAAATACTAAAAAAAAGTACATGAGCAGCATATCCTTGAAGCCATATAGCCTCCCCTCAGTCTCCCCTACTTGACGCGAATGCAACATTCTGTCTGTTCCTACAACGTGTCATAATTGTACGCTTGGCAGAAAGCTGCTGAAGATTAGTCTCATATATTTGCAATTATCATCTGTACACAATAATTAACGTCAGAGAAAAAGAGATAAGTGTCCTTTAAATTTTTTGAAGTGGAATCGCACTCAAAATGAGTGAAAAGCGACAGTATTTTTTGACAATGAAAACACTGCCATTCGAAGTCGCAAAAGTAAATGTTTCACTCAAGCTTGGAATGGATTCTGGCTTCATATGAGCGAATATTTCAATCGATTACAGCGAATGTGTTCCTTTGTAGCACGTCAGATTCGCTGTTCAACTACAGGTAAAAATATTCAGTCGACGGTTTAGAGTGGAGAATTCATTCCGTACGAATTCATTCTGAATGAAAGAACATTGGAATTCGCTTTACTTTTCGAGTGAAATTTCACTGCGAGAAATTCAGACAGTACGCAGAGAAATTAACATGTGCAGCAAACGAATGCAAGGAGCTAACGGTATCTTCGAATCGGTCGTTCGTTGATACAGCCGTCATGATTCTTTTATAAGTTTCGATACGATACGTTACAATTAAAACAATAAAAAATGTCTTGGGTGAAAAGTTGAGTAGGAGAAGTCGCATATAGTCTTCCGTGCACCGGTGGAGCGTGTACATTTAATAGCATCCAGCGCTGGCTTCCTACTTGCTTCCTATCCCTTTACTCTTTGTCTAACGGCTCAAAGAAAGCTC